CCTCACTGCCATCAAGTCAATTCTGACTAATAGTGACCCCCTCCCCCACCTTGGGTTTCCAAGGCTGTAAATCTTTACAGAAGTAGATTTCCCCATCTTCCTTCCACAGAGTGCCTAGGGGGTTTGAACCACTGACCTTCTGGTAGTAGCCAAATCCTTTATCCACTACATAACCAGGGCTCCTTATGCTATTAAAGGTGATGAAAAAATTTGGAAACAGGTAGTGGTGATGTACAAGATGGGGAATGTAATTAATATCACTGAATTACACACATAAAAATGGTTAAAATGGGAAATGTTTTGTGATATAGATGTCACCACAATAAAAATTTAAAAAAAAAAATTTGTCCTCACAACTAGTCATTTATCCATAGTGTGCCTCACAGCAAGCGTCCCATGGAACATATTTTGAGAAACATTATTCTAGCCAGCTAACTAACTCCAAAGCTGCATGTAGATACTACAAGAGACAGAGGGTGAGCAGTGGACACTGGTAAAGTTTTAACCACTGGCTCTCCAAAGAAGGAAAACAGAAGCCCTGATGTTTGCCGATCATTCCCACCGTGGCTGATTCCAACCTGACTCACTGAACGCAAAGTTGGGAAGAGAGACACACAATTGGCTCTGACATACTATGAAAGTTGAGGAGAAAAAGTGACCTCCCAGCTAGAAGAATGGTGAAGGAGAAAGCAGCTTGCACTGATCCGTTTTGTCTACCTATTCTGATTGTTCTTGTGACCAATAGCCCACAGAGAAATAAAAGCTGAGGTTGTTGTTGAGCAGACGCCTTTGAGTCATGAGCAACTCATGGTGTACATACTTAGAAGGAACCTTGCCCATCCTGTGTCATCCTCACAGTCACCGACACGTTCAAGTGCATTATTATGGCCACTCTGTCAATACACCTCACCAAGGGTCTTCCTCCTCCTCACTGGCTCTATTTCACCAAACAAGAAGTCTTCCTCTAGCAATTGATCCCTCCTGATGATGTGTCCAAAGCAAGCAAGTCAGACAATGATAAGCTAAGGTATCCAGACAGAACCAGAATATACTGTAGGAAAACCTACACTCCCTTTTTGTGAGAAGTGGCCTACCTTGAAGATTCTGCCACCCTCGTTGTAATTTATACTTTAAATGTTAATAATCATGTTAAGAATGTTTAAAAACCTAGGGCATTGCCTCTACGGTTGGGGTGGGGTTTTCAGAAAAAAGAGTCCTCAATGAGACTCTATGGGATATAGTGACCAATATGGATTCTTGGTACTTACTTGTCTGGCTTTTTGATAAATGACACCAAACTTGAATGTGTTGTTGACATCATGTTCATCATAGGACACAATCATTTGGGAGGCCTGGAAAACATGAAAAGAAAAAATCAGATTGCTTGTTAACTTGAAGGCATGTATGGAAGCAAATGGAAAGGAAAGAAGATCATTTAGGTAGAGACTGTGCCCCTGAAATGAAACAGACATACACATGAAGAGAAAGAACGGAAAAGAAGTAGATGGTTAAGATGCTACTCCAAAGGGCTTAGTTAGGTGCCAGCACCTGGGCTTCCCCGAGCAGTAGCCAAACCTCTGAGTCACCCATTCCATTTCCATCCAGAGAAGTTGGCCAAGGCTTGGGCACACAGGGAATCCAGCAGAACTCAGGGTACTGACTTACTCCAATGTTTTATCTGTGGTGTGAAAAGCGAAGTCAGGAACCTAAGAACTGTCAGCAAGGTTGATTCTAATTCTAATTCCACCTCTACTCAGCAGTGATTCTGAGCAAGATGCTGCTCCCAACCATTCAAGCCCCTCATCAGTGATTTCATTATGGGGTGTGGTGAGGTCTGCATCAGGTGACACTGTCAGAGGGGGTGGTACCAAAATGATTGTCTATGAAATTTTTGTGCAGTGTTTCAGCATCAATTTATTATTTTTTACAAAAATATCTCTGTAGTTAGTTGTAACAACAAAAACATTTTTCATAAGCCCAGCTAACATGTATCAATATACCTGCAAGGCTAAAACTCTATGCAAATTTATTTTTTGAACCACCCAATGCACTCCAGTCAGAGCTTTCATTATTATTCAATTAAAACAATGCTTTGAACCACGTGGTTTCCTCTGCACATGCTACAAATATGTGCTATTCTTTTTGTTGCTGCTGGTACTTTTGTAGTTGCTAATTCTGTCAAATTTTCTGGTGTTTTAGCCACAATACTAAGGTAATTCATATCTGTGAAGCTAAATCAGTAGGTTTTTTGAGAATGAAGTAGTGATTAAAAGAAGAAAAATAGAGGCTTCCACTCAATTATTAATAATGTTATAATGAATAATGTAATTCAATGTAGAGTTTACAAAATAATTTTGTTGTTAGTATTTATATAATCTAAGAAATATTACATTTAAACAATTTGCAACTGTATCACATATTATTCTACGATTAAATTAATAATAAACATTACTCAAGATTCTGTACATTCTGGTATGGGAGGAAGTCCATGGGTGGGAGGATTACAGCACGAGTTATTACACTGGGTGGCATCAACATTTGTTGATTTTATTGACTGCTACTTCTGGGGGCATTGATTGTGGGTCCAAGCAAAATGAAATTCCTGACAATTTCAATCTTTTCTCCATTTATCATGATGTTGCTTTTTGGTCCAGTTGTCAGGATTTTTGTTTTCTTTATGTTGAGGTATAATCCGAACTGAAGGCTATAGTCTTTGATCTTCATCAGTAAGTGCTTCAAATCTTCTTTACTTTCAGCAAGCAAAGTTGTGTCATCTGCATATCTTGGGGTGTTAATGATTTTTCCTCAAATTCTGATTCCTCGTTCTTCTTCATATAGTCCAGCTTCTCGGATTACTCACTCAGCATACAGATTTAATAAGTATGATAAATGGATGAAACCCTGATGCACACCCTTCCTGATTTTAAAGTATGCAGCATCCCATTGTTCTGTTCAAACAACTGCCTTTTGATTTATGTACAGGTTCCTCATTAGCACAATTAAGTGTTCTGGAATTCCCATTCTTTGCAATATTATACATAATTTATGATTCACATAGTCGGAAGCCCTTTCGTAGTCAATAAAACACAAGTATACATCTTTCTGGTATTCTTTGCTTTCAGCCAAGGTCCAACTGACATCAGCTATAATATCCCTTGTTCCACATCCCCTTCTGAACCTGGCTTGAATTTCTGGCAGTTCCCTGTCTACGTACTGCAGCAACTATTTTCAACATTAATATTATTAATGTTAATATTATTAATAATATTAAAATTATTGTTTGATAATTTCCACATTTTGTTGGATCACCTTTCTTTGGAATGGGCACAAATATGGACCTCTTCCAGCCAGTTGGCCAAATAACTGTCTTCCAAATATCTTGGCAAAGAACAGTGAGGGCTTCCAGCGTTGCATCCGTTTGTTGAAACATCTCAGTGGGTATTCCATCAATTCCCGGAGGCTTGTTTTTTGTCACTTTCTCAGTACAGCTTGGACTTCTTCCTTCAATACCACCCACTCATGAGCACATGCCACCTCCTGAAATGCTTGAACATCGACCAATTCTTTTTGGTACAGTGACTCTGTGTATTCCTTCCATCTTCTTTTGATGCTTACTGCATCATTCAATATTTTGCCCATAGAATCCTTCAATATTGCAACTCGAAGCTTGAATTTTTTTCTTCAGTTCTTTCAGCTTTGATCTGCTAACTACAGGTCTTTGCACATTTCATTATAATATTTCACTCTGTTTTCTTAAGCCATCCTTTGAAATCATCTGTTCAGCTCTTTTACTTCATCGTTTCTTCCATTTGCTGTAGCTATTCTCCATTTAAGAGCAAGTTTCAGAGTCTCTTCTGACAATCATTTTAATCTTTTCTTTCTTTCCTGTCTTTTTAATTACCTTTTGCCTTCTTCATATACGATGTCCTTGATGTCATCCCATAACTCATCTCATCTTCAGTCATTAGCGTTCAATACATCAGATCTATTCCTCAGATGGTCTCTAAATTCAGGTGGGACATATGCAAGATCGTATTTTGGCTCTCGTGGACTTGTTTTAATTTTCTTCAACTTCAACTTGAACTTGCATATGAAAAAATGATGGCCCATTCCTGGCTCCTGGCCTTGTTCTGACTGATGATATTGAGATTCTCCATCATCTTTCCCCAGATGTAGTTGATTTGACTCCTGTGTATTCCATCTGGCCAGGTCCACGTGTATAGTCACTGTTTATATTGTTGAAAAAAGGTATTTGCAATGACTAAGTCATTGGTCTTGAAAAATTTTTTCACGTGGTCTCCAGCATCTTTCCTATCACCAAGGCCATATCTTCCAACGACTGATGCTTCCTTGCTTCCACCTTTTGCATTCCAATCACCAATAATTACTGATGCATCTTCATTACATGCTTGGTCAATTTCAGACTGCAGGAATTGGTAAAAATCTTCAACCTCATCATCTTTGGCATCAGTGGTTGGTGCATAAATTTGAGTAATAGTCATATTAACTGGTCTTCCTTGTGGGCATATGTGTATTATCCTATCACTGACAGCACTGTAGTTCAAAATAGATCTTGAAATGTTCTTTTTGACAATGAATATAATGTCATTTCTCTTCAATACCAATCCATTTCAGCTCCCTAATGCCTAGGACATTGACCTTTATGTGTTCCGTTTCATTTTTGACAACTTCCAATTTTTCTAGATTCATACTTTCTACAGTACACATTCCAATTATCAATGGATGTTTGCAGCTGTTTCTTCTCATGTTGAGTTGTGTCCCATCAGCAAATGAAGGTCCCAAAAGCTTCACTCCATTCACATCATTAAGGCCAGCTCTTCTTGGGGAGGCAGCTCTTCCCCAGTCATATCTGAGTACCTTCCAAATGGAGGGGTTCATCTTCTGGCACTGTATCAGACAATGTTTCACGGCTATTCATAAGGTTTTCAGTAGCTATTTTTATTCAGAAGTGGACCGCCACATCTTTCTTCCTCGGCTGTCTTAGTCTGAAAGCGCCACTGAAGTCTTCCCACTAAGGGTGGCCCTGCTGGTATCTGAAATACTGATGTCGAAGCTTCCAGCATCACAGCAACATGTAAGCCACCACAGTGGGACAAACTGATAGACAAGTGGCTCTCTCAACCTGATGGATAGAATCTGTTTAGAATTGGTTCCATTTCTTGAGAGAACCCTAAGACATCCTCTGCAATAAAAGGAGAGATGCAGCCATGCATTATGCTAAGGGAAGAATAAATCGGCGTGAGTTGTTGGCTGGGATACAAAGCCAATTTTGGCGACCACTCATTGTGAGGCTCTCAGTGGCTGGAGGTAATGAACATTTCTCAGTCCCCACAGTGAGAGCACTGCTGCAGACCTGGGAGGAAGCCCTCCACTCCCACCTGGGATGAGTCAAAGGGGAGGAACAGCTGCCCTGCCAGAGAGAGGCACCAGGCCATGGAGACCTTCCAAGGAACATTCTAAACCCTGAGAATTTTAAACACACACACACACACATATATCCCAGCCAGATTAATGTCCTAGCTGGACTAAGCAGTCCCTCAAATATAGAAAACATGAAAATACAGCTGCTGCTGTTCCGTTATTACCAGGGCCAGCAGCTTGCCAAGTTATGGAGAGAACGACGCAAATGAACATCATTTGGTTCTCTCAGTGGATATGATTTGACAACAAAAATTGCCAAATTTGTAGTTAAGTTAGGCCGTTATGATGGGGTTGTAATATTTGATTAAACCTCACCAATTCAGCTTTAATTATAAAGGGGAAGTCAGTCTGATGAAAGAAAATGTTCAGGGGAGTGCAGCATATTACTGGAAGTGCCGATAGACATTCAAATGGCTAGGAAGAGGCGTGTGCACAGAGACGGGCTTTGGCACCTGCTCTGTTCAGGGGAGGACTCTGCTATTAACTCATCAACTGCATCTGGATCAATGGTATTGTTAGCTGCTGTCAAGTCAGCTCTGAGTCACAGCAACTTCGTGGGTAACAGAGCAAAAGGGTGCCATCCACTCCACCATCGTTGGTAACAGAGCAAAAGGGTGCCATCCACTCCACCATC